CACAGCGCACGCGACTTGTTCGTCCCGTCACTTGATATCATAAAAAAATGAGATATACACGAACTAAAATCTAAAATAAATGTATGTTAATCATTATCCTACTTTATGGAATGCGTAAGATTTTGAAAAAAGAAAACGTACGTCTTTAAGGCTCAATTTACATAGCCGCGGATGGGAATGGAAGCGAGTTTTTCTAACTATAGAAATGTGAACTTTAAGTCAATTGTGTAAAATACTAACTAGATAAGAGCCAAAAAATAGGTCGCACGTTTTCCTGAGAATTCCGTACCGTAGTTTATACGTTTGTAAATTGTACATTTTGTTACAAACATTGGCTTCCAATTCAGTTTCGCAGTTATATAAATTGAGCCTCCGAGTGGTAAATTTATTATAATGGAATTTAACTGCAGGTAATAATGATAACGGATATTACAGGTAGGGAAGTTGCCCCACAAAACGGCGCGTAAATATAGCAATGTCAGATGTGTAATACAGTATAACGAGCTGGTACAATCATGAACTGTAACGTAACATCGAAAGATATATCGGTCGGTCGCTGCATTATCTGATAGCCTATTATGATACAGATAATACATCATACAGTAGAAAAACGTAATAAAAACAAATGACTGGGCATTAAGACTGTTGCTGAAATTGCGCATGACGGTGTCAAGTGTAAAATTAACTAGACGAGAAAAAGATAAATGTGTTTCGTAATTTATAGTCTTTTTACGCAGAAAACCCTTTTAAAAAGTCGTGAAGGATAAAAATACTTCTTCAAAGTTATGATTTGTTTGGAAGATATAACAAATCTTTTTTTTATGATAGTAGTGACGGAGCGTACAAGTCGTGCGCCTGATGTGGCTACACGCCTGTCCTTTATGGACTTGCAGTGCCACTCAGAGCCTTAAAATAGCAAATATCTGAGGGGCACTGTCACTGCGCCCGTCACCATGAGACATAAGTTAAAAGTCCCATGTGCCTGTAATTTCACCAGCGCCCTTACCCTTCAAAACCGGAACGCAGTAATACTCGCATTACTGCTTGGCGGCACAAATAATACTGCCAATTTCCCAGGATAAACTCTTACACGAAGAGCCCTACTAAAAATGCTCATTGGTTGCTACACTCACGCAATTGTACTTCTTGTAATGTTACAGGAAATGGATTTGAATTGATTTACTAATTTTGTGACGTACAAATAAAACTTTGTGTATTTTAACAAAATTTAAAACTACTGCCGATTTTTCTTCAACCGCAAACACTTGTTATGTTACAGATATGTTAACATAGTCAGTTCAATTCAGCTATATTACAAACATGTCAATGTAGGACCAAATGAGCGTACATATGACGTCACTATATGACAAGAGTATAATCGCAGTGGCACCAAAAATCTACAATAAATGGCCATTACAGTTAAGGCTGAATGAAAATTTCGCAGAATTGAAACGGGCATTATTTGACTATTTAGTCACTCGTCACACAATGTTGAATTAATACCGTTTGTTTTTAAATTTACTTTACTTTTTCAGCACTGATTCTCTCGCTTTTTCGTAACCAGTAGTTGAGCTTGTTTTTGAAGGCATTAACAGAGACAGCAGAAACAGAATCGCTCTGCTACAGAGAAGAAATTGTGTGCAGCAGATGTTTAGATAGGCGCACGAAGTATATTTTACGATGATTTCCACGGAATAGTTAAAAGTTTTCTTTTGATGATATTTTGTATGTCTGGTAAATAGCAGTGGCACATTTTTTAAAGTCTAGTGTAATACGTGTATGTAATAATAAGGTTATTAATCGAATACAATTAACAATAAAACAATGATAGCAAATTTCAGAGGTAACGAAGTTACACAACAAATCATAAACAGCGGGTAAATATGTCAATGACAGACGTGCAATAAAGTGCAACAAAAATGTAACCTATTGCATAGTACACTGTATTTTCGCAGGTCAATATGGACATAGGTATATAAATAATGAAAAATGTAGTGTCTTTACTGATACTTCCTCTAATGTACTAAACAAAAAGGAAGGTAACAAAAAGCAGTATTACAAATAGCATGGAATCGAATCTTATGTTACAAATAAGGCATAATTACGATTTTTGTATAAATACTAAGTGACGAGACGAATAAATCGTGCGCCTGATGATAAGCTACACGCCTGTCCGTAACAGTTGCAGTGCCACCCTCAACAATAAATCGCAAAGATCTGAGGGGCACTGCCACTGCGCCCATCACCCTGAGACATAAGTTGACAACACCCACGTGCTGGTAATTTCACCAGCACCCTTACTCTTCAAAACTGGAACACAGTAATGCTCATATTACTGCTTTGCGGCAGAAATAGGTAAGGTGGCACTACCGTGGACGAACTCTTTCACAAGGAGCTCCACTGCTATTAAAAAGAATATAAATAAAAAATAAAAAAGATTGAGCATGTTGAGTTTAATTAGAGAGAATGTGTTAACTGCAATCTTGACTAGATGAGAGAAAAATACATGTCTACACTAGTTCCTGGTTTCTTACCACGGTATGATTAGATTCTTCTACCAGTACTTGGTACTTGGAGCAAAGGGCTGGTGTCCGCAATTCTTCTACCAGTATTCCAGATATAAGAATAAAGCACACTCTCATCGAGTGCCATGGACACATAGACAACCATAAATTACACCCAAACTCACGAGAGAAAGAAGTGTAGGTCATACAAATATTTCTCCCGGCCCGGGGCTCGAACCCGGGACCCTTGAGTGGTAAACCAGCATAGTAAAGCTCGGCCACGGAGGCAGTTACAATTTACGTGGCGATGTTGTTAATTTAAAAATAAACCGATTGAAATCAAACTTATATAATATTAGGTAATTCCGATAGTATCTGACCTTAATTATTAATTAATCTGGCCTGTTATAGAAATTCTAAAATAATAAGAATTTGAGCAACATTTGATGTCCTTGTGGGTTTGTTCAAGAAAGTAATTCTACCAAACCTATTTCTGCCGATTTCAAAGGGTAAGGGGGCTGGTGAAATTACAGGCACATGGTACTTTATGTCTCAAGGTAACGGGCGCGGTGTCAGTGCCCCCTCAAATCTTTGCAATTTAAAGCTCTGAGAGGTACTACGATTGTTAGCGCCCAGTTACACGAGGATGTTTTTCGCCCAGCGCCCAGTTACCACGCCTTCATTTACATTAATGGCGAATCTGAATTATATTTACTAGGCAACAACATTTAAATTCCTCTGAATAATATAAATTCAAGCCAGTCTCGCCCGCGTGTCCGGTGCGCTAATTTAAGTTAAAACGTAAAACCAAAATAATCTCAGTGCAGAGTACTAAAAAAACCGACCCCAATAGTACGTGGAATTACATCTATTTGCTAAGTTTTATTGGCATATCCCCTAGTTCGCCACAATACAGGACTTGACACAGGAGATAATAAAAATCGTTTCTCACTATTCAAAGAATATTAAGAGAGAAAAACGCCTTGAATTGGAGAATAGCAAAACCAATCATCAAAATAATTGCTCCTTAAGTAAAATTTAGGCGCTATTTATAAAAATGAATGTTCATGCGTGATCAGCCCGCTTAGAGGTGGATGATTTTCTTTAAAATGAAATGGGACCACTATGGAGGTACCCTCTTTCCAACAAAAAAGGAATCATGAAAATCGGTTCACAAATACCGGAGTTATCGCGTTACATACATACAAAAAAAAACAATAGCAACGAATAAATTAAGACGCATGATTTGGTCGAGTATTATTTATTTGACAGTAAAGCATGAAACACACAGAACGGGTGCGGATTGGGCCGGGAGCACGGCGGGTGTAATTCCGTGTATTTATAATGACCCGACCCGTGTCTTGCCGACCATATAAATACATAGAATTACACACGCCATGCACCCGACGCGACAAGCACCCGACCCGCACCCGCTTGCAGGTGTTTTACGCTTAATTGTTTCAGATGGATATCAGACAGAGAACCATGGCAACAAAATTAAAGATTAAATTAGTGCAACATTCAGTGGTAAATTGTGGCAGAATAAACAGACAGTATGTTGTTTTTGCCAATATGCAATCAGTCTTATATGAGACCACATACACAGTTAATTTTTGATATATTTTGGCATGTCAGACTATATATATACTTCTATTTGGAAAACTATTCAGCTGATTAAGTTGAATCCCAAATGTGTTTATGCTTCAAGAGACTGTTATTAATAAAATTATTTTGCGGTTTCCACTTGTACAACTAGAGTAGTAATTGGACAATTCTAACTTAATTTAGTAACAGTAGTAATAGGTAATTGAGGCATAAGTTATAGTACTAAAACTTACCGTCCTATTAATCACGACTCCAAAGTAGTCAATCAAGTTTTCTCCATAGAAGAAATAGTTGGATGTCAATAAGAAATACCAGGAGAGGGAGCGGAACCACGGCAGGCCATGCACTCGGTATACGGCGTAACCGATGTTAATGATCTCTTCGAAGCACTTCACTTGGACACAGAGTACCTGGGTACAGAGAGCATGGATTGTGCATAAGGTACGAGAGAATGGTAGTTTCTCAATTGATCCCTGTGGTAGCATGTACTTATGACTTTCATTTCTAAATAAATATGTATATTTGTCAATGTTTAGTGGACGTACCTTTTACTAACAGTTAAGGAAAACCATACATGATGGAAGTTAAAATCCCTCAGCAAACAAGTGGAGTCCCCACCCCACATAAGGCCAGCACAGCGGACTGTGAAACCCTCTCCTTAGAGGAGAACGTAGACATGTAGGTGATGTGTAATTTTTAACTTTTAACTCTAAGTATATAGATACATTTTTATAAATTCTTTTGAAGCTGTCATTATCCTAAATATGTCTGAATTTAAATTTATTTATTAAATCATTATTTAATTCAATTATTAAAATTTATTTTCATTTTTGTTTTACCTGTGTTTCTTTTTACTTACTTTACTTTCAAGGAATAAAAATGAAATATATACAAAACAAAATTTTGTTAAAATAATTTTAATGCATTAATGCAGTGTTTGCGATTCCAAAATGTAATGCATAATTTTAAGTAACATATTAAATCAAATTAATTATTGGGTGTTTCTAAATTTATGTAAACAATAACTTTAAATAAATGTAAATGTTTGTCTTAAAAAAATTATACGACTTTTGTATTGATTCATAACTTACAGTAATCATGAGTGCCAGTGGCCCACCATAGATAAGTAGGCAAAAACCACCAATCATCAGCCAGGTGAAAATGCCCCGAATCACCCAGTTGCGCCATCTAAATGTATTCAAAATTTCAACACTTTATGAAACGAATCATAACTTTGAAAGTAAGTAATTAAAACGTCTTTGACATTAAATAAATTACGGGCCAATGAAAAAATTCGAATATGCAATAAGTGCCTTACCTTGAAGACAAGCCCGAAAGAGCAGAGTCAAGGATTTCCGGCGTCTTGTCCGTGCCTTGAGGGAGCTTTTTCGCCATTTCTTCCACATACTTCTCCTCTAAGACCTTCTCCTCCTCAGAGTCCACCTAAAAACACACAAATTGTGACTACCAAATACATTACCAACTATGAGCAGCTTTATTTAATTACGAAAACAAAAATCATATCTACATGATCGGATTCTCCAGCCGTTTCGGCTTTGTTGTTACCGTCGCCGTCGCCTCGACGATACCGCAACTCACTCATTTTAGTAGAAGTGAAGCACAACACTCGTCGAAGCTGATTTTAGTCAAAAAACGCGCTAAATTGAATATTTATAATCCATTTATGAACAATAAAAATAAACGCTGTTTTTCCACTGACGACGAATTGTCAATCGAAAAAATCAATAATTTTACTTTTTTAAACTGATGTTGCTACTTTGGGGAAAGATCTACTAATGGTAGTAAAATACCATGTTACATACGGGCCACAAGCCATTTCCGGCTTATGATTTCTTAAAGGTATCATACTTTAGATTAAAAAATTATTAAGCTGACGTTAGCAAAGGACGTGATTTATAACTTTTTTAATGTTGAATGTGTCGTTACTACTGTTGAGTAATTTTCCAAAAAAATTAAAATAGTGTAACTATTTCCGGAAAAATTACTAACAAATTGAAAAAATATAATACGAAGTCTCATATTATCTTCTTCGTTTAGAAATATCTTTTGAAATTTTATTAAGCGTGAATTATAAAAAAAAAATAATTGTAGTTGTTAAAGCAAGTTAGAGAAAAACGAGATTGAGGGTCGTATTCCAGAATTCTACTCAATGCTCAAGTCAGGACTTGAGTATTGCAGTGAGCACTGAAAATCATACTCGAGTCCTTGCCATTAGCGTAGTATTTCCAGTGCTTGAAATCATACTCAAGTCTGCTCAAATCCTAACTTGAGCATTGAGTAGAGTTCTGGAATACGACCCTCAAAGTAATTTGATAACAGCGAAAAAAACCTTGTTCTATTGGCTCCATCGTTTTCGTTCAGTAACTTCAACTTGTGACACGTGTTAACGTCAAATGTCGAAAAACATAGGAAAAATATTGGAAAATATCCACAAAAATATTTATTTTTCAGACACGATTTTTTGAAAATACAACGTTTTCCATGACCAACACTAGTCGTTACAAAAATCTTTTCAAACTCAGGGAAAATCAATAAGACATAAAAACAGTGAACTTGGTTATGTTCTATTAAAATAAAAAAGTCAAGCGCTTCACAGGAAAACTATAGAACAAAATGTTATTTAGAAATTAGTTCATTATCTTGAAAATAGGTAAAAGTACTCTATTAATTTATTTCTTAAAATCATACTTGACTTAGGGACAAATGCAAAGATTTCACCAACAGTCAATCCTCATCCATCTTCAAGCTGCTCACGCGCGAATACCATTAATATAATTTTTAATCTTATTCTTCATACCCTTCACGTGTCATAATGAAACAATCCAATTATCAAGCACTTGGAATAAATCGCTTATAATAATAATGCATTTAAAAATACTTATTTTAGTTTTCCGAATCAACAAACTGTCGAGAAATTATTTTATCAAATGTTACTAACTGGCTATCCATAGTAATTGAAATTTAACACTACTTACAATAATCTCAGTACAAAGTACTAAAAAAACCGACCTCAAAAGTAAGTGGAATTACGTCTATTTGCTAAGTTTTATTGAAATATCCCCTAGTTCGCCAGTATACAGGACTTGACACTGGAGATAATAAAAATCGGTTCTCTCAAAGTATATTGAGAGAAAAACGCCTTGAATTGGAGAAATAGCAAAATCAACCATTAAAGTAATTGCTCCTAAATTAAAGTTAGGCGCTATTTATAAAAATGAATCTTGCGTGAACAGCCACCCTTCGAGGTGGATGCTTTTCTTCAAAATGAAATGGGACCACTATGAAAGTACCCACTTTACAACAAAAAAAGAATCATGAAAATTGGTTCACAAATATCGGAGTTATCGCGTAACATACATACAAAAAAAAGAACATACAGACGAATTGAGAACCTCCTCCTTTTTTAAAGTCGTCTAAAAATATATTAGTGTCTCATCATCATCATCGTCAGAATATAGTTGTTCTAAGGAATTATTTTAAATCGTGATAGTTTTGTCACCTAAATTATGGCAATATTATCATTTCAATGTCATAACACTGCATTATTTTTACAGCACTAACAGAAGTGTTTCTAGCTACACCAACACTTTGTTCAAGTATATCAACCATGCGTGTAACAGGAATAGTGGTGGTGTCTTACAAAACTTGTAGTTGAAAGTTAGCTTTGTAGTAAAACGAAAAGAAATGCGTAAATATGGCGAGTGAAACAGATGATCTCGACGAAAATATTGAAAATGTAAGTAGATTTATGCAAATACAACAATTTATTTGGACTTACAATAATACATTATTAAGCCTATAATAATTTTCAGCTGAAAGCCACGGTGAGGAAGTCATTCGCCCGTATCTATGCAGCTTTAAAAGCAAGGGAATTGAAAACTTTGCGGCAACTCGACGCCCTTCGTAAACAATGCGAAGATGACAAAGACTTGATGAAGAATTGTGTTCAAAACATTCATATAAAGTACGAAAACGAGTCCACATTGTTAGAAAATGTAAGTAATTATGGAATAATAGATTTTGAGAAGCTTAATTTTGATAGTAATACATTTACACTGGAAGACTACGTCAGCCCTAATGACGATCATATGTACTGTTATAAGACTATTGAAGAGTTGACTAAGGAGGAGGATAACAAGGAGATGGAGGCTATTGAAGAGGCTGCCCTAAAAGAAATTACTAGAACAGATCATTGTGTGTGTTATGTTAATATTCGAACTGAGGATGTGTCAAAGAAGTTTAGGTATTTGGATACAAATACCTCATCAGAAAAAGTTCGAGACGAAGACGTCATTGATGGCAAAGAGGCTGAATGTGCAGAGGTCAGTGAGACTAGTGTGGAAGAAAAAAGTGAAAATTCAGATGAGGAACTTAAAAAAATAGACCCCACTGATGATTGGTTAAATTCCATCAAAGGTCAGACTGAGACCGAGCCGTCACAGGTGACTGATGTGATGGAACACAGCACTATAACCTGCTCATAGCAATAATGTCAAAATAGCGGCTTTACTTACATTTTTTACTTAAATAAATTTTATATCTTATTTTACCAAAAGGTGCTCATTCTATCTTTCTCCTAAATATTTTTAAGTTCAAGAATAGTTGAAAACTCTGTAACAGACTTTAACACAAGTAATTTGATTGCATAGTTATAGGGTCGTATTCTAGAACTCTACTCAATGCTCAAGTCAGGACATTTGAGCAGACTTGCGTATGATTTCAAGCACTGGAAATACGACCCTGATGGCAAGGACTTGAGTATGAGTTTCAGTGCTCACTGCAATACTCAGTCCTGACTTGAGTATTGAGTAGAGTTCTGGAATACGACCCATAGTTACTCTTTTCGAAAGCATTAATTATGAAGTCACCAAAGAAAACCAACTCTGTTTCAGGGTCCTAAGTTATTTTGCTGGCTGTTTTATATTTGAGGAGCTTTGGTACAAAAACTGATAAGTCACATTTTGATTTGTTCTTCTTTTTTCATTTTCCAAATGGTAGTTTTTACAGCAACTGCTAAATCCTCTTCAAAAGTTTCATATGCATGGGTCTGAACACAATACAACAAATCCATTAAATGGGACTAGACAATATTATAATCAGAATTTAATGGTTTTATCAGTTTTTATTCTGAAGCTCCACATTTTATAAGGCATTTTGCTGCCACTGAATTTTAAAACTTTTATGTTGCATTAACCTTACATTACAGGGATAATAGGTATGTGTGTAAATAATCATGCTTGTCCTTATTCAATTCAAATTGATAACACTTTAAAACTAAAGAATATTGGAAAATAAAACAAACACATTTAAAGCATCAACTTATATTGTTAATACATTTTTACAAATGGCGTTACTGACACTTAAACTAATAAGCATTGACTTCCGATTACATTCCCTATATAAATATTACCCTTGAATGCTGTACTAGTGTACAGGTTGTTGGTTCTGTAAAATTATATTGTTTCTTTTCATATTATTATACTTTTAATAGATCTGCAAGTTAATTTAATCTTAATTTTAATCTTATAACATTGAATTAGTTGGGAACATTCAGTTGTATTCTTCATTATGTTGTAAAATGTCTTCCAAATCACGCCAAAATGAGTGGAAAACCCACAATTTAAAATAGAGATGAGGCAGATATTGTCAGTGATGACAGGATGATTTGGACTCCTTTTTAAAGGACTGACCAGATGCAGTTCAAGACCGGGACCAGTAAATTGCAAGACCTACGCCCAGCAATGGGACACAACATGCTTTTAATTTTAGTCAGTTATTACATCGTCAGGAAAATAGACACTTGACCAGGTATCGGTTAAGCAGAGTATATTATATCTAACTTTCAAGTAATACATATAGAGTGGTTAATACCTCCTGTAATCCCTGAACGATTAAAAACAATAAGTAAAATATCGAAACCATTTAATGTATACATGAGATATATTATTTTGTTTCGATTTTCGACTAAAAAGGTTGAATTATTATATCAACTTTAATTACTGGCCACACATAGCAGAATGTTTAATCTAAATCAAAAGACGATTGGGTTATTCTTTTTCAAATTAAACAATTCAATTCTGATATTTGTGGCCAGTGATTCATATGAACATTGTTATCACAATTCAACCTTTTTTATAGAGTTTCTTTCTATTAAATACCAATTACTTTACTGTAATTATACCTTGAATTATAATTACAGTAAAGTAATTGGTATTTAATATAGAACAAAATACAGGACATCTCTGGGGTTTTATTGCTAGGCGTTATCCACTCCATGTATATTATTTGTAAATATACTGTTTACCCGATCTCTGAACATGAGATATCAAAAATGACGTTATTATCATTTAAAAAAGGTTTACGCCAGCAGGCTGAATTATTACCTAAACACTTTGTAGAGACGAGTCATGTTCTTTGTTGCATTAATGTGTATTAAACTTTTTTTATTTTCTCATTTAAGAGCTAGGCTCTTATCGCAGGAGCACTAGGGAAACCCTGTATTGCGGGTGCCATGGATACACTCGTAGACAACCACAAATTACACCCAAACTCACGAGAGAAATAAATAGGTCGTATAAATATTTCTCCCGGCTCGGGAATCGAACCCGGGACCTCTGCGTGGCAGTCCAGGATGGTAACCGTTCGGCCACAGAGACACTTTAAGTTCCGGATGCGATTGAACATCAATTTTTCTCTTAACTGATCTAAATAATTTCATCTTAGTCTTCCTTTGCCTCTCTTTTTTTCGATCTCCCCTTCTAAGAAAAGTTTGTCTGATGTAGTAATAATTATGATTATGTTAAACAATTCACAATCTGCCATGTGTTAACAATGTAATTTTACAGAAACAACGTAATTCTTCTCAATGTTGCAGACCAAATATTCAATACCGATTACCATTGCCTGGTTTCGCCCGCTACATGCTTTATACTATGGTTTTTATGGCACTTAAACATGACATTTATTTTATGAATCATTCCTATAAATTCCCATTTTGGATGGAACATGTTGGGGATGTATTCTAGTTTGTACTCAACTTTTCGTTGGAAATGCGATGGCACTAAATATAAGTGCAGGGAGCAATACAACGTCTAAAGAAGTTAAAAAGATATGTGCTAATAATTGGAAGATTACAGTCGGCTACAAAATAGGCATTACGTAATTTAGGTACTAGTTTAAAAAATGTTAGGCCACATGATGGTATGTATCGTATAAGTTTTTTTTATTGTCCCTTTAATTATCAAATTGAGCTACAAACTAAGAATTTACTGAATAATTCGAAGATGGCATATGAATACTGCATTAGTTTCTAAGATATTTTCGGTGATAAGTTAGTAAGACAAACGAATTCATTAGAAGTATACAAAGGTATTAAAAGATATGATAAATTGGGAGTACAAAATCTTAAACGAGTACAAGGTCCGAACTAAACGTAGTGCGTATCTAAAGCATGTTATGAAGTTACCAATAAGTTACACAACTAACTACCTTAAAACTGTGTTAATTCTACTATTGTACATTTTAACAAGATTAACAGTGTTAGATACTATACAAGACCAAAGTCAGTGCACACGGCAGCGACTTCCCGGTTATTTTGTTTCTCCGTATTGTTTGCAGCCATGTTCAACTCCACCAGAGTGTCCACACTGTTGATACTGACCCCTTTCAGAATTTTCTGCGCGGCTAAACTAGTAAAATTAAAACTCAAATCGCTCAAGCTCGGAAAATTGTAAAAATCCTGGTTCTCTTTCTTGCTCTCTTGGCTCAGGCTGTACCTCTTCTGTTTGTTTTCCACGCTGTTGACTTTTTCTGTCGACGTATTTATGTCCTTTATTTGTTCCTGGTTCTTTAATGCCAGATTGGGCTCAGATCCCAATACAGGCTTCTGTTCAATGCCCTTTGTTAACAAGTTTGCAAGAGACTCGGAACTCATCCTGTTATTTACATTCGGAAGTCCATTTAACATTTGCAAGGCTGCTGCTTTCTTCAAGAGGTCGACACTTTTTAGTTCACTGTTTGAATTTATGTTGGTCTGTAGGCCGCTGTTTGCGGAAGACAAAGCATTCTTTTGATACCTTAAACTTCCCAGTGAACCTATTATGTTGTCATAACTTTTCGTTGGTGTAGACGGGTTGCTATTTGTGGTCGTTTCCAAGTTATGTATATTGTTATGAATGGCCGGAGAAGCCGGGTTGGACGATACTTCGTTTGTGTTATTCAATTGATTCTTATAAATAAAGCTGTTATTATTAGCCGCGCCGCCTATTTGCAAGGATAGCTTACGATTGTTATTCATACCCGTGTCGTTTATAGAATTCTTGTTGAATTTGTTTTCTTGTACTTTTACAGGTTCCGGTTCTTGGTACATTTGTTTATTTTTCTCGACGCAAACGTCGAAGGAAGTTTCCGTGGGATTTTTTGGCGTTTGATTAGAGACCCCATTTTGAACCGATACAACTTGCCTATCATCGTTGATGATGTATATGTTGCTTCCGTTGCTAGTTTCGGTGACTTTACCGTTTTCGAAAGTGATGACTGATCTTACAGGGGAATTTTGTACAAAGACTTTGGTGTTTGTACCACCACCGTTTTGTGATATAGTGTTCGTGGTAACTTTTAGTGTAATCGAATTATTTGAATTTGAACTGGCCATCATTGTAGCGGACGGATTTTCTATTTTCGAGCCTAATGTTTTGTTATGCAAAGGGGTTGCGGTTTTTTTGGGCGTACTTGGGCAGTTTTTTGGAAACGACTTCGGAGAGGTATTTTTGCCGTTTTTTGGAGTTTCTCCTCCAATTATTGGTGGTTTAGATCTGTACTTGTGCAAACTTTTTGGGGAACTTTGTAAACTCTGAACTTTAACGAGTGATTGAGCTCTACTCAAACCTGGTCCGGCGTGTGTGTTGCTATGACTAGGAGAAGGCTTTAATGTACGGTCCGATATGTGCGATTCTAGACTGGAGTGACCACTACTGCCGCTGGTATGGTAAGTCCTTTTCATTGGAGAATTTTGATCAGACATGTTTTTGTTGTCCTTTCTGGGAGTGCGGTGCGTGCTTGTGCTTTCTAAACTGGAGGGACCGCTGGTGGACATAACATGGTCTGAGTGAGAGTAGTCTCTCCTTAAACTTCCGCTGGGGCTGTCTCTTAGCTTGGGGTCGCTACCGCGTTGGGGTGATCCAAAATGGTCCAAAATGGTCTTGTTAGTAGAACTCCTGCTGAGTGTTGATCGTGGTAGACTGCCTGAACTAGGGCTGGACTGCCTGATGGGTGAATGATCGTAGTGGACGGAACCAGCGAGGCCAGACTCGGTGGAGAGGTGTCGCTTGTGGCGTCGCGGCAATGTCGATGACCGATTACTGATTTCTGAACCATCGTAGTACGATGACATGTATGATGTTTGACTCTGCAATGACTCCTGAAAATGGTAAAAAAGGGAATGTTATAATTTTGTTACACAGCAAAAAATTGGTAGGTATATAAACAAAGCGTTTTAAGAGTTGGTACATTATACCTTGGAGTTGGTCTGCGTAGCGACACAGTGTAGATGCACCGCTTTGGAGTTAAACCACTCGGTAGGCGGAAACTGCGCAGAAAAGGTGCTCATCGCGCGCGTCTGTTTGCTGCGGCCGCTTCGTCTGAATAAGCGGGAGAGCAGGGACACTTTTTCTGAAATGAGAGAAAATGTATTCAGAACTAATTAGGCGAAACTGCTGACAAATATTGAACTTTCTTTGGAAATCAGAAAGACAATAAGAAGAATCTAAAAAGACAGTTTCCTAACAGGTAACAAAAACATCAAAGTGAATTGTAGATGGAGCATTGTAATAATAAAATCCTTCTAAAATGTCGTTTTAAAAACTACCAAGTACAAATTAATCTAAATTACTATCTGGTAGTAGATAAATCAGGCTAAAATGACTTACTAGGCGATGCAGATTCAACACTCGGTGGGTAATCGGTGGACGAAGACGAATCAGTCGTATTTGCGTGCTTGTGATGCAAGCTGCGGGTGGACGCACACCGTTGCAGATACTTGCTGCTGGAGCCGAAGATCCGAAGGGAGTGTCTTCGGTCCAGCGAACGTGGTGCCGGGAATGAAGCGCTTCGGCGTTTGTTTGGACGACCGTACAGAATTTTGTCGTTTGGGTTGCCTGGAAAAGAACAATACGTTTCATGGTGAGATTTGTAGATAATTGAAAATATTGGGTTTGGGACGTACTGAAGCTCAGTAAAGCTAATTGTTACTGTACTTAATCCGAAACAAATCTATGTCTGTTCAGCTGGTATTCTTAAGTTACGTATAAGACGATTATAAAGTATTGCAGTTAACTACTGGGCACGGGGAAAAAATATTTTACAAAATTCGTGCCATCTGCTTGGCTAAAATTAGCAGAATCATAATATGATTAATTGACAATTCATATTATGAATTTTCTTGCGAATTGTATTGTATCATATTATGATTGTGCCAATGCCACCTTTTTAGCCCTGCGCTATATGTAATAGCGATACGTATTCTATAAAAACTGTCACAGATATTATCTTTAGGTTTGAATCACTATACCTACATATAGGTAATGTAAGTAGCATTTTTTAATAAAATTTACTACCCAAAATCCTAAATGCGAAGAGAACATTTTTCATTCCTCAAATCTTTAATTAGTCACGCTGTTAATGGCATGTTTTGGCATGTAACGAAAATCCTGAAACATCCGAAGCTCCGAGCGCGTAAACGACGCACAAAGTTAATGCAGTTGTGCGCATAAATCAGCAGTGAACTTGACAGCAGTTCTCGTTTTGTAAACAGATTGAGATGGTATGCTAACGGCTTTTCCTTGCGATCTAATCCTGACTAATGCTTACTGCAGAATAATTTGTGTTTGTTTACTAATACATTTATGTGATCTTATTTATCGTTTAAATAAAGTTAACGCTTATAGCTACATATTAACTGCCTCTGTGGCCGAACGGTTACCATGCCGGACTGCCACGCAGAGGTCCCAGGTTCGATTCCCGGGCCGGGAGAAATGTTTGTATGGCTTACATTTATTTCTCTCGTGAGTTTGGGTGTAATTTGTGGTTGTCTATGTGTGTGTCCATGGCACCCGCGACACAGGGTTTCCCTAGTGCGGGGCTATGTTGAGTGTGTGCGTTATTATTATTATTATTATTATTATAGTATCGCATTGTGGGAACAAGTGTATAAGTTTTAGTTATTTGTTGTGTCATTTGAAAATATATACCTATAATTTTGTGCAAAACTAATCTCATGGTGTTGTATTATATGGGTGTAGTCAATCGAGCTGCGTTCCAAGTTGGCGTGCAGTCTGGCCCGAAGGTGTTTTCCGATCGCATTACAACTGCTTGCGATGATGTTGAAATACATCTTTTGTGACTATGGTAATAAAGGTAATGCCCTAACTCTTATAACTCAAATGTTATACACTAACAAAATATAACTATATCGCTGATTGAAATTTAAAAAAGAAGTGATTTAAGTGACCCTTTGTTAATTTTACTTGATCTTAGGTGACTAAGTTAATATTTATTTTTATTGAATATCATATTCATTTTTTTTTTGTGAAAATGCTTCACTAGTTTGTTATTATTATTGATACAAAGATCGAGCAAATGTCACGGGGTTCTCACAGATGGCGCTACGGCAAGAAACCGTTAAAAACCAAAAACAAAGATGTGCAACAAGCACATAAAGAAACTCGTAAGGTTGTGGTAACTCGTTCCGCAGCTCAGTTGGGAGAGCGGTTGTTTTTAGGTTTGGCGAAATCCCTGGTTTGAGTCTAATCGGATCGAAGGAATTTTTCTTTGTATTTATTCGATTTTTGAATCAATACTCGTTAAGTTAATTTTGCATTTGCAAGAACAAACTTATCTAAGTACTTAGACAGTTCAAAGTCAAAAGTTAGTATTCGTAACATCTCTATCGGACGAGATCAAAGCAAGAATTTCAGGAAAAATAACTGCGAACAGATTGTTTTGTTAGACTTAGAAGTTCAAACATGAAATTCAAGCTATTAATTTTATGGTATTATGGTTTAAGTTTCATAATCTACTTTGTATGTTGGGTTCTAAGATATGTTAAAGTAAACAAGTTGGTACTTAAACTACCTACTTAGGTATCTTCTTTATCGGAACATCAAAGAGTCGCGACTTAGAACAGTAAGCGTATTAAGATCTTAATCAAAATTATGTTCCAGTGCTATCTCGTACCTTCAATTTAGGGTTGTCACATGTTTAGTTACTTTGAATTATTGCAGAAAAGAAGAAGATTATATTAAGCAACAAAGTAAGTATGAATGTGTTGAGTATACGTGATAGCCGAAATAAAAACTCATTTTTCGAAATCAACCAGCGAGTTTAATTCCGTTGACGAACAGAATACTTACTTTAACCCATTAACGCCCAAATACAAATTAGCGTTAAAAATTGTAAAATTTTTTTATGAACCTTTACAAAATAGCCTAGTTATGAGAAAATTATGAAGAAAAAAAAGATTTTATTTTATTTTGTATGAAAAAAAATGCCGTCCTCAAATGGGGACAATGGGCTCAAGCGGTGTCAAAAAATTTGTAACAATATTTGTCGGTGCACAAAGACTTGACGCATTTTTTATATTGCCAACGCGCTTATTTGTGGCTCAACAGCTATTTTTGCACATCGTAACTGTTAAGCCAACTTCTGAGCGTAGTGATCAACACCAATGTTCTGTAGATTTAGCACCAAAGAAGCTGCTGGATGTAAACTTTGAGTATTTGTTTCTCCAATAGTGACGTGATGTAACCGTTTAACTGATGTAGCTGATTTAGCTTCGTATTATTGGTCAGGAGGTGTAAACGCCATGTATTAGCTAGTGCTAGGTGCAGCTTGTAGTGGAACAACACCACCAGTTTTTGCCTCGAATGGCAGTGCGATACAAAAAGATTGGTCAGCTTGATTTATCCTGCTGGTACGTTTTAAATCACGCAGGATACCCACGTCAGCTTTCTGTTTATTCACAGTGCTTTATCTTTTTACTTTCACCAGAGAAAGGACATTATCATAATCAGAGCTCATCGTGCAAATACTATTGTCAAGCCATGGAAAAAACAGAATTTGGTTGATTGGGTAAAATCGATAGTCAAAATTGGCACGGTTTTACTCTACATGTGTATTACAAATCTGGTCAAGTAGATATTTCTTAGTTTTTCCTTTGCAGACAGTTTCAGTTGTTCGATAACCAGTTTGCCGTAGATTATTAGATCTTGTTACATAAGAATAGTACTTCTACATTGGTGAACGCCCTCAGTTCCAGGGGAAATGCCCCCTAAATCTATCTCCACATCATGGTCTCTCTCATCCATTACAGCTTCAATAGCTTTCTGAAGCCCATAGTAATAATTGTGGCTGCCAAATACCTGTTGTGTCATTATTTCGTTGAAAATTACTTATAGATGAAAAACTAATAAACTACCCCATAAGCGCCCAATGGCCCCAATTGGGGACACCGTTATATACCACCGTCTGAAGTTGTCAAAACACTATTTAACTCAATTATATAATTTTTATTTTATAATATACGAATACATTTCAATAATATATGTAAAAAAAGAAATAAATTGTTGGTAATAACATACAGGAAAAACAACTAACTTTAGCGTTTCACGTGTGCGTAAGTTAACCCCATAAAAGGAACAGTCAAACTACTTTTATTTAATTCTAAACAATTTTTTTAAATAATAAAATTAAGATCCACTATTTTACTTTACATATACACTTTTGTAATGAGTATTAATAGTAATATAAAAAAATTACGGGTACTCAAAGTAGTATCCTCGATTGGGCACGGCGGGCGCAAATGGGTTAATAGGCACTTGAACGTTTTATGAATTTTTTAGCACTGCGAATTATTTTGGCAGTTATAGTATGGAACGGAAAACGGAATCGACCTTCTCTGTACGATTTGCAAAACTGATAAAACCTTACAGTATTTCTACTGGAAGGAAATAAATACCGTTCTTTAAAATTCACAACCCTGTTTAGAATCTCTTCGCCCATTAAAATACCGGTGTGCAAGTCCTGCACCGCTATTCCACATTACGAAAATAACCTGGAATGTGACACGTATAATTGTAGCACACCTCAGTACGCACCGTCTGAAAATTCTGAAATGCTTCTGATATTCTATGCAGTTTAAGTTAAATTTAATCGACGAACGTTATTTAAAAAAAATGTAAGCAATGCGTAAACTTAATTTTTATTTAAGTTTTTTTTCCTTATTTCTCTTTTCACTAATTTATTTCGATAGACAAAGATTCTAGCATACAACCTCTTCATATTATTAATATTTTTCCCTTGCTTACAAGTTTTATGTTTATTCATTCTATTCAAAAATATATAATATTCAAAAATATTATTTCATAAATAATGTCCACATTCCAGTGGAAATTTTCAAATTACATTGATAGTAATAATAATGTAACATTTTACGTAATAACCTACCTGTAACTTTCATTAAGAGTTATAATAACTCAGTTTATTAATAATGCATAATAAATTCAAAGTTTACAGTCACAGTTACGGCATTTATAGTCACATTATAACACGACTGGACAACATTGTACAGTGAGCGCCTTTAATTGTGATATATGTGTACCTATTTATCGACTCAGTAACTCTAAATCAAGATTATAACTGTAGTAACTGTCGGTTATGATTGTTTCACCGGAATTGCAATCACTATTTGCATAAGAATAGGAACTTGAAGCATATTGATTAAAAATATTTTTTAACTTCAAAAAAGGAGGAGGTTCTTCATTTGACTTTTTTTTTGTTTGTATGTTACGGGTTAACCCTTTTTGTAACGATTTTTGGAACGATTTTGATGATTTTCTTTTCTTGTTGGAAAAGGGGTATCTCAGCATTGGTCCCATTTAATTTTGAAGGAAATATTCCACCTCTAAGGGTCGTATTCCAGAACTCTACTCAATGCTCAAGTCAGGATTTGAGCCGACTTGAGTATGATTTCATGCACTGGAAATACGACCCTAATGGCAAGGACTTGAGTATGATTTTCAGTGCTCACTGCAATACTCAAGTCCTGACTTGAGTATTGAGTAGAGTTCTGGAATACGACCCTAAGAGTGGTAAACTAGGA